GCAAAGTTCTCCAATTTTTTTTTTTTGGTGGAAAGCCCTGCCTGGACATAAAGTGCAGGTGTTTTATGCCCACCCTTTGCCATTACATTGGATTTCCCCTTCCAAAGAATAATTGCCATGGACAATAACCCATCTTTTCCCTGCACTCTCTGCTCAGAATGACATTTTATCCAGTAAAATATTGCAGAAAAGTATTTTTTTGCTATTCAAGGAACTCTGATGTGGCTGTTCCTGGCTGTCAGTTTTCCCTTCTTCTAATAATCCATCCCACAGCACAGATGCAGATTTTTTAGGAATTTCAAATTTGGAATATTGGAGCACACAGCCAACAGCTCCTCTCCTGCCCTGCTGTTTATTTTTAAGCACATCCAGCTGGTGCAACCCCACTGGAAAAGGGAAAACAAAAATATCCAGAGGCTCCTGCAGCTCCTGCCTTGCAGAAGGAGCACTCAGGGAGCTCAAAGTATCATTTTGAAGGAGATCAATTGAACAGGCTGAGATCCCACAGCCATTCCCATTGCAACCTGGCCCCTTTCCATTTCCCTCAGCAAAAAAACACTTCAAAATTCCTTATTTCAGCTTGACGGAAATCAAAACAAGAACTCCTGTCCAGCTTATTTACTTTTGGTGGCTGAAGGGGAGACATTCATTATACAGCATCAAAATTTAGCATTATTGTGCATAAAATTCAAATCTCGAGGAGGAAAAATGCACAGAGAAATAATTCCCTTCAAAATGAAGCTTTTTTCAAAGGAAAATATTTTGAGTGGACAAATAATTGGAGCACAAACAGGAAAATCTGGGGAGTTCAGCCCTCTCAGAAAAGATGGCAACAACTTAAAAGACACAAACAGGCTCCTCTTCTTTCAGGAGCACCAGGATCAGGTTTTCCCAGGCATTGGAAGAGCCCCAATTTATACCCAGTTTCCAGACAGAAAGAAATCTGTGAATCTTTTTAATTTTTCATGCTCTGAGAGGCAAATCCTCTCGGGTTGCAGGCACAGAGGCCTCAGGGCTGGGGCTTTTCCTGGGATTTTTCAGCTGAGGGAAAAATCAGCAGGGAAAAAAAAAAATCCCTGGGCTGGAAGTTTGGCAGCCACAGGAGGGAAAAATGTTCCAAGGTCACAGAATTCCCAGAATCACAGAATTCAGAGAATCACAGGGTTGGAAGAGACCTTCAAGATCATCAACCCAGTCCCAGCCCCTCAACCCAGCCCTGGCACCCAGTGCCACATCCAGGCTTGGTTAAACACACCCAGGGGTGGTGACTCCACCACCTCCCCGGGCAGCCACTCCAGAACTTTGTCACCATTTCTGTAAAAACTTTTCCCTGATATCCAACCTGTATTTCCCTGGGTGCAGCTCGAGGCTGTGAGCTCTGGCTCTGTCAGCTCCTGGAGAAAGAGCCCAGCCCCAGCTGGGCACAGGCACCTTCCAGGAGCTGTGACAGTGACAAGGTCACCCCTGAGCCTCCTTTTCTCCAGGCTGGGCACCCCCAGCTCCCTCAGGGTTCCTCACAGGGTTTGTGTTCCCAGCCCCTCTCCAGCCTCGTTGCCCCCTCTGGATGTGCTCCAGCCCCTCCATGTCCTTCCCAAACTGAGGGGCCAGAGCTGGGCACAGCACTCGAGGTTTGCCCTCACCTGTGCCAGGCACAGGGGCAGAATGAGCTCCCTGCTCCTGCTGGCCACACCGTTCCTCACCCAGGCCAGGAGCTGTTGGCTTTTTTCTGCCCATTCCAGCTTTTCTGCTGGGGTTGGAGCAGCTGCAGGGTGACTCCAAGATGATGAGCCTGGAAAAGCTTCTCCCACAGGGATTGGGAAGGAGGAGCAGCCTCAGCACCCCCAGTACCATCTCTCGGCAGCTCTGTCAGATCCCCTTGGAAAGGGAAGGGCAGCATCCCAAAATCCCACAGCTGAGGAAGAGCAGAGCTGCTGTGTGGGGTTGGGGTTGCTCAGGGAGAGGGATAATCAGGACCAAATGTTGGGATTTGACTTTGGAGATGATTGGTAAAAGCGCTGTCAAGTGAGGGCTGAGAGATCTGAGCAGGAACATCTGGAATGAGCTGGGAAAAATACCTGGGAAGGACAGAGGGGATATCGGGAATTAGGAATTGTTCCTGTGAGGGTGGGAAGGGGCTGAGATGGAATTCCCAGAGCAGCTGTGGCTGTCCCTGGATCCCTGGCAGTGCCCAAGGCCAGGTTGGACACTGGGGCTGGAGCAGCCTGGTGAGCATAGATCCATAGAATCACAGAATCCCAGAATTGTTTGGTTTGGAAGGACCTCAAAGCCCATCCAGTGCCACCCCTGCCATGGCAGGGACACCTCCCACTGTCCCAGGCTGCTGCAAGTCCTGTCCAGCCTGGCCCTGGACACTTCCAGGGATGCCTCAGGTTTGAGCTTTTCTATTTTCCACATTCTGTGCTGCTTTAGTGTGTGGGTCTGGGCTTCACATGATGGGATGCTGAGCTCTGTGCACAGAGCAGAGACAAAACAATTCCTGCTCCAGCTGGGCACCAAGGACAAATGATCCAAACCTCAGCCCAGGAGCACAAACAGCGTGGGCTGGAGAGAGAAAAACAAGCAGGGTGGGACTGATGGGCTGGAGCTGGAATGGGACAATGAACTCCAAGGTGCCAATGGAGCAGAACTGATCCCAGGGAGAGCCCCGGGAGCGCTCGTGCATTTTGGGACCATTTTGGGTCATTTGGGTGCAGCCCTGGCTGGGCTCTGGTGCTGCCCAAGGTGGATCCATGGAGGAGATCCTTTAATAAATCCCTGCTTTATTCTGTAGCTCTGCCCAGCTCTGCTCCAGCTCAGCCTTCCCAAGGCATCACCAGGGATCCAGGGGCAGCCCCAGCTGCTCTGGGCACCCTGTGCCAGGGCCTGCCCACCCTCCCAGGGAACAATTCCTTCTCTTTATCCAACCTAACCCCACTCTTTGTCATTCCAAACCACTCCTCCTTGTCCTGTCACCCCTCCTTTCCTGTCACCTCCTCCAGGCACTGAACGCTCTTCCCTTGGTGGACTTTTCTCCCAAACCCCAAATCCATGCCAGTCTCTCCATAAAGGCTGCCAGGAGCTCTGGGGGTTGTTCCCACAGCCAGAGGTTCTGCTGGATGTGCAATCCTGGCACTCTGTGTCCCCTCAGGCCATGGCAATCCAAGGTCTGCTGCTTGGACCCTCCGTGGTGGCAATTCCTCCTGGAAAAAGCCTCTGGATTCACTGCTCTGCTCATGATTGAAGTTATCCTGCTGTGTTTTCCTCTTCCCTCTGAACCCTGTTTGCTTCTTCAGCACGTGGATAGAAGCCTGAAATTATCAGTTTGTAGGGAAAAAAATAAATAACGAGGATGAAAAATGCCTGGAAGGATGAAGTGTGGAGTAGAGGGGAGTTTGCTTTGCTTTAGGGAATGCTGTCACCTGCTGGCAGGAGAGCAAGAAAATGGAGTTTTGTGGGGAAAAAAAAAAGAGCATCCCCATCCCAGAGAGGGGAAAAAAACCCACAAAAAACTCTGAAGTAAAACCCAGCCTGGGAAATGTGATCCTGGGAAAGAAGGATCCTCACTGGAATTCCCAGAGACACCAAACTCCCTCTCAGCTTCCCTCCCACTCCTCCTCAAACTCATTTTGTCTCCTTCTCCAGCCTCTCTGCACATCCCAGCTCCACTTCACCCATTCCTGTCCCTTCTCCTCTCCAGCCACCTCCATCTCCATGGACACCCCTCCTCCTTTCCAACAATTTCCACGTGGCCAGAGAGAATCAGCAGCTCCCACAGGGCAGGAACATCTCACACCTGCCTGAATTCCACCATTTCCATTTTTCACAGGGAGCACCGAGAGATTTAGGACTGCCAAAAATTGTTCCCGTGCTGGGCATTCCAGGGATGTGGTTAGTTTAGGAAAAAATCAGGAAAAATTTGTTCTTGGAAAAGGAAGGATGTCCAGGGAAGTGATGGAATCACATCCCTGATGTCATTTAATTCCTGACATTTTGTTAGCACATAATTCATCTGCCCCTTCTTCAGGATCCTGCAGCTGCCAGAGCAGAAAACACCCAGGGATCCCTGAAAAGTCTTCTTATTTTGGATTAATTTGATGGTATTTATGTTTTATATTCTATTTATTTTAATATATTATTTATTTATATTTTTATCTAATATTATTAATCTATTTTTATTTATTATATTATTTATATGTCTATATTTGCTAACAAAGTTCATATAAACACAGGGCAAAATACCGAATCTGTTTGGAATCCATGGGCAAGGATCAAGCAAATTTTGACCAGAAGGCAGTGGTTAATTAATGACAAGAGAAATTCATATTGACAGCTGGGCAGCTAAAAATTAAAATTTCAACAGCACAGGAGCACAAGGTCTGGCTGTTTAAAAATTAACCATTACACAGCAAAAAGTCTTTTCAGGAGCAAGACAATCATGAATCCTCATCCAGCTAAAAAGTGACAAAATCTGTTTGAAACTCATATGAAAAATAGCAAATTCTATTTGAAATTAAGCCCATCTAAAAAAACCTGCAAAATCTATTTGAAACCCATCTGAAAAATTGCAAATTCTATTTGAAATTAAGCCCATCTAAAAAAACTGCAAAATCTATTTGAAACCCATCTGAAAAATTGCAAAATCCACTTGAAACCAATCTAAAAAATTGCACATTCCATTTGAAATCCATCTGAGAAACTGCAAAATCCACTTGAAACTCAAGAAATATAAGAATTATCTCTCTGTAATTCTTCACTAAAAAAAACCCCAGCTTTAATTAAATCCATCCTCATCACAGTGAGAAAATAAAGATCTCATCAAGCTTCCTACAACTTTTTGATTAATTATTGAAATTTAATTGGAGGCAAGAGCTCATTTGCCTGAAGGACTGACAAAAGTGTTTGTTAGTATTTCCTCCCTGTGAGACTTTTGTGAGTCACTTCTGGAACATTTGTATTTCTGCTTTTATGAAGTATTAAATGCTAAACAGAAATTTTAGGTGTAGAAGTTTCCCATCCAGTGGATTGTGTTTTATTGGCTAAGGGAGTTAAATTGGGGGCAAAGGGGAAATTTCATTGTACACACTCAAATCCTGCTGTCTCAGGAAAATCTCACACCTGCATTTCTTTAAGTCCAGAAATTAAACAAGAAGAACTTTCTGCTGTTTCATTTTTTTCCAGCAGCTCTTCAGAGGATTTCTTCCTTTTGCTTTCTTGTTTTTTGCAGTTCAAACTTCCCATTTCTGCTTCCACATCCCAGTCCTGAGCTTTGCTGCTGCATTCAGAGTGAATCAGCTCCACCCCACAGCTACAGGGGAGCAGCATTTTACACCAGAAATAAACCAAAATGCTGGAATGACACAATTTCCTCTTTTTTTAGGTCTTGAACCACATCAAATCTTACGAATGCATTCAATTCTTTTTGCCAGACAGTTACTGGAAGACATAATGCTTTCTAAACATGGATTTGGGGACTGTGATGCATACTCACAGCTTACTAGATGGATTTTTAATCCCCAGATTTGCCTGATTTCCTTATTCTTGACATCACTTCCCAACTATTTCTCCTGCTGCAGAACCAAATTCCTGAAACCTGGGTCTTCTACTGGCAGTTTCTTCACAGAAATGTTGATGTTTCTGCATCAAACAGGCACAGAGAACTTGGACTGGGAATTGAGGATTGAATTTTTGCAGAAAGAAATGCACTCAGACATGGCTGCTGTGACTTCAGGCTGTGAGGGGTCTGCCCAGCCTTTATTTGTTGGACTCACAGCTGGTTTGGTCTCCAGGAAGGGACAATTCCTCAGTCCTGGCACGTTTTGGTGCTGGGGGAGCTTGGAGGCTCTCATCAGATGGCAATGGATTCTCTGGAAGAAGCAGACAAGAAAATAATTTCAAATTAATAAACTTAGATTAAAAAGAAAAACCCCAACCGTGGTCTGAGAGAGTCCAGTGTTGTTATAGGATATGTGAAAGTATAATGTGAGTTATTGTTATTTGTAAGGTGAAAAGAGTGAGTTTATTTTTTGATTTTATCATTTATATTTTTTTAAAGGTGATAGTGGATTTGAGAGTGAATGTGTTACTTTTTTAAAGACATTGGACAAACTACTAGTATATCAAGTTTTTTTATTCTTATGAAGGAATGTAAAACAATAGGTTGTTTACAGAAAGTTGTGTGAGAAAATTTGCTACAAGAATGTAAACTCAGAAGGTTTTAGAAAATCTTAAAAATCAAGACAACAGTCCAGCAAGTGTAACAAGGATAACTGGAAGCACAAAAGTCTTTAAAACACTACACCCATTAATTTATCCTTGGTTTCACTGCTGTAAAACTGTGGGGACAGTCACAATCAGCTGCCCCAGAGCAGGGAGAACACATTTCGTTTTGCCTCTCTAGACACATCAAAACAATGAGAAGCTTTAGAATTTGTAATTAGAGTGAGGAATTTTTTTACAATATCAATCTATAATGGAAAATTTTGACTGGGAAGGGACTTGGCTGGTGTTAAGAGCCATAAAAACTCACCATGCTCCTGTTGTGAGGAAGGAGGGGTGGGGGCTGGGTCTGGATATGCAGAGGTTGGGGTGTCTGGCTTCAAGGAAATCAAGTTTATTCTCCTTTAAAAGAGCAGAAACAGTTAAATTCTTTTATAGACATCACTTCCACAAGTATTCCACTTCATGATTTCATTAATATAGAATCACTTAACTGCAAAGGTAGTTCAGATATATTTTAGTGTACATTTTCCCTTCTTTTTACAAGTTCCATGCAGCATTACCCACTTCCAACCCCCTGCCATGGGCAGGGCCACCTTCCACTGGAGCAGTACAGTCAATATCTGGATTATTGGCAATTTCTAAAAAATCAGATCTTTTAGGAAGTCACCTAATCAATGTTTTAAGTCCCACACTGAGGGCCTGACTAGACTTGCACTCTTCTTAAAATACTCCTTGGCAGAAAAGTGTTTAAAACAGTTCTTGGCGGCTGAAGGCTTCAGGTACCATTTTTGTGCAGAAAACTGGACCTGAAGACAGAATGACAGAATATTCTGAGCTGGAAGAGATCCAAGAGGATCAAAGTCCAACTCCTGACCAAGACACACACGTTTTGTTGTGAAGGCTCAGGTGAATTTGCTGCTTCACATTTCAGGCAGAAACCTAAATATTCCATATTTTGACCTCTCATTTGCAGCACAACAAAAAACTCTGCATCAAGAGAATTCCACTCAGAGCCAGGGCTGGGAATTTGTGTGCAAAGCTCAGCCTTTAAATGCAGCACAAGCACAGCTTGCCTTGGCCCCTGTATTTACAACTGGAAGGGGAACCAGAAATCTCACCTGGGTGTTTTGAAACAGGACTGCAGAGTGGTGAGGGTGACCCTCCTGGGCTGGGGGGCTCTGCTGCTCTGGGTGCCTGCCTGGCTGCTTCTCCTCTCCTCTGAGGATGGCACTGGAGCCGTTTTGATGCCCACAGGGGTGGAAGG